CGACTGTCTGCCCCCTGGTGGTCAGTGCACGTCATAGCGACTGGTAGACCAGGCGACTGTCTGCCCCCTGGTGGTCAGTGCACGTCATAGCGACTGGTAGACCAGGCGACTGTCTGCCCCCTGGTGGTCAGTGCACGTCATAGCGACTGGTAGACCAGGCGACTGTCTGCCCCCTGGTGGTCAGTGCACGTCATAGCGACTGGTAGACCAGGCGACTGTCTGCCCCCTGGTGGTCAGTGCACGTCATAGCGACTGGTAGACCAGGCGACTGTCTGCCCCCTGGTGGTCAGTGCACGTCATAGCGACTGGTAGACCAGGCGACTGTCTGCCCCCTGGTGGTCAGTGCACGTCATAGCGACTGGTAGACCAGGCGACTGTCTGCCCCCTGGTGGTCAGTGCACGTCATAGCGACTGGTAGACCAGGCGACTGTCTGCCCCCTGGTGGTCAGTGCACGTCATAGCGACTGGTAGACCAGGCGACTGTCTGCCCCCTGGTGGTCAGTGCACGTCATAGCGACTGGTAGACCAGGCGACTGTCTGCCCCCTGGTGGTCAGTGCACGTCATAGCGACTGGTAGACCAGGCGACTGTCTGCCCCCTGGTGGTCAGTGCACGTCATAGCGACTGGTCGACCAGTCTACCGTCTGCCCCCTGGTGGTCAGTGCACATCATAGCGACTGGTCGACCAGTTGACCGTCTGCCCCCTGGTGGTCAGTCCCCTCCCTCATGCTTTCAAAATGTCTCCCCTCAACTTGAATGACAACGTCAACTGGAGAGAGAGAGGTTCCAGACTCTCGCTGTGTTTTTGTCTGTTTGTTGTTTGTTTGTTTTGTCTCAGTGACAACAGAGGCGGACGGGTCCCCCGTGATAAACATGGAGCTGGACCCCAGGAGGAAGACGCTGACCTGGAAATACCGGGCAAACGTGACCGAGCAAGAATGCAAGGTGGACACCCCGCCCGGCTCCTCCACCAGGCAACGCCCACAGGTGAGGGTTCGGGGTTCGAGCCTGAGGGCTCTGCTCCGTGTAAATCTTGAATTTCCCTTGTGAATCGCCTCTTTAGATCCCCACTCTTACTGCTCTCGCTGAAGAGAAAAGAAAAGAAAAGGAAAGGAAAGAAAAGAAAAGGAAAGAAAAGGAAAGAAAAGAAAAGAAAAGAAAAGAAAAGAAAAGAAAAGAAAAGAAACAAGAAAAGAAAAGAAAAGAAAAAAGAAGAAGAGAAAACAGCTCGGACAGTATAGCTCAGTGGTTGAGCATCTACGTATGAATTAGGTACAGGTGTTGGCAAACTCATTAGTCAACAGAACCAAATATCAACAATACGACCATTGAAATCTCTTTGGAGAGCCAAATTTTTTAAACTTAAACTATATAGGCAGGTTCATTGTGATTAACTTCATGAGGGTACGCCTAAGGCTTAGGAAGAGCCGCACTCCAGGGGCCAAAGAGCCGCATGTGGCTCGCGAGCCGCAGTTTGCCGACCACGGTTACCAGGAGGTCACTGTTCGATTCCTGGTCAGGGTACATACCTGGGTTGTGACCTCGATCCTGGGGACGGGAAGGGGAGGGGTGGGAGGGGTGTGCAGGAGGCAGCCAATCGGTGATTCTCTCTCATCCTTGATGTTTCCATCTCTCTCTCTCTCCTCTCCCTTCCTCTCTGAAATCAATTTTTAAAAAATTATTAAGAAAAAGAAAAGATTAAAAAAAAAAAAATACTTGTCCTCCATCCCCTTAGGTTCCGTGACGGGGGCGTGCAAATTAAAATGACAAAAGAGAGGTTAATGGGAGAGAAAGTCTACCGTGGTGTTAAATTAGGTTTAATTTTGACATTACACGAAGCTTCGCAGAGAAGACGTGAACAAACTAAAGACAGGGCTGGACGAGGAAGCATATACAAGTGACATTTTAAAAAAAGACAATAAATGGTGGAGAAGGGACTATCTCTATCTATATCTATATCTATATCTATATCTATATCTATATCTATACTATGTCTATATCTATGTCTAGGTGCATGTGGCTGTGTGTGTGGGTGCGTGTGGGTGCATGTGGCTGTGTGTGTGGGTGCGTGTGGGTGCATGTGGGTGCATGTGGCTGTGTGTGTGGGTGCGTGTGGGTGCATGTGGCTGTGTGTGTGGGTGCGTGTGGGTGCATGTGGCTGTGTGTGTGGGTGCGTGTGGGTGCATGTGGCTGTGTGTGTGGGTGCGTGTGGGTGCATGTGGCTGTGTGTGTGGGTGCGTGTGGGTGCATGTGGGTGTGTGGGTGTGTGTGGGTGCATGTGGCTGTGTGTGTGGGTGCGTGTGGGTGCATGTGGGTGTGTGGGTGTGTGTGGGTGCATGTGGCTGTGTGTGTGGGTGCGTGTGGGTGCATGTGGGTGCATGTGGCTGTGTGTGTGGGTGCGTGTGGGTGCATGTGGGTGTGTGGGTGTGTGTGGGTGCATGTGGCTGTGTGTGTGGGTGCGTGTGGGTGCGTGTGGCCGTGTGTGGCAAGCTGTGCACAGCACATGCAGGGCCCGATGATGCCGGGTGGCACCTTGTGTCCCTGTGACAACAGCCACCGGGCCTCCTGCCCCCACGGCATCGAGGCCTCCGCAGGGCACCGTCCGGAAAGGGACCAGGATCGGGGAGCACAGGGCGAGGCCCGGCCGGGGGCTCAGGTGGTTGGCCATCACCCTGTCCACCAGGGTTGCAGGTTCGATTCCCGGTCAGGGCACACCCCTAGTTGGGGTGTGTACCGGAGGAAGCCGTGTGATGTTATGTTTCTGTCTCTCTCCCTTCCTGTCTCTCTAAAATCAATAAAAACACATCCTAGCCCCGGCCAGTGTGGCTCAGTGGTTGAGCGTCGACCTATGAACCAGGAGGGGACGGTTCGATTCCCGGTCGGGGCACAGGCCCGGGGTGCGGGCTCCATCCCCAGTGTGGGGCGTGCAGGAGGCAGCTGGTCCATGATTCTCTCTCATCATGGATGTTTCTCTCTCTTCCTCTCTGAAATCAATAAAAAATATATATATAAGAGGAATAAGAAGAAAACAGGTTCAAGGTCGTTTGACGCAAAGGTCATATATTTGACCTTGACGGTGCCTTTTCTAGGTCAAAGGAGACGGCACCTACTTTTGCTGGTTTCCCAACGCCGTGCTGCACAGGGGGGCCACGCTCACCGTCAACGGGATGGCGGAGGGGACCCCGTTTCGGTCCGCCTTGGAGTTTCACAATCCAGGTGAGGCCCCCTCCCCTGGGGGGACCCCAATGACCCTACAGTGACCTGCTTAGACCTCAAGGTCAAGAGAGGGGCTCCGGGTCCAGGGCCTGGAGATGCTGGCAATTTGGTCAATCAGTAAGGATTTATTTTTTAAAAAGTTTTTTAGTCCTGGCCAGTGTGGCTCAGTGGATAGAGCGTCGGCCTGAGGACTGAAGGGTCCCGGGTTCGATTCCCGGTCAAGG